TTTAGCATCTGACCATCAAGATATTCTTGATCTTTCTTCAAAGCTGGGCACTGAGATGCTACCCTTTGACGAAAAACATATACCACTACTCGGGCTCCAGCAGCAGCTAAGCTAAACTTAGCTCACAGTTTCCTCAGCAAAGTTTATCCCGGTTTTCAGAGGTCCCAATGAAAACTGCTTCAATAAATCAATGGGCTCTACTGAAAAAATGATCAGCTCAAGGCATCAAGTAATCAAACTGGACACTGCTTTATGGTAAACATCAAAGACAGTTCTGAGTCAGAGTAGGGCATTAACTTCTGCGTGCTGGGCAATTCAATTTAGTGCAGTACTCAAGATTATCTGTAAAAGGTCGCTTCATTTACTCTTGGAGTACTGCAAGGCAAATTCAGGAAGGTCTTGCATACTCAATCAGAAGATTAACAGTGCCTGTTGTAAGAAAGATGCAGTGATGGATTAATCAATCTTCAACAGAGAGATGCAGAGAAATAGCAAAGGAAATAAGTGGGAAGAGATTGACCTTTCCCTTTATACAAAGAGCCTGCATTTACAGCTGAGTATTTACAGTTAAACAGTGAGTTAGAATTAAGAGGACAACATTTATTTAGCCAATCTAACTGCAAATATTATTTTTAAGAGAATTCCAGCTTTTCTTCTATCTAAAATCAGTGCACAAGACACTTGTGCTGATATTTTGGGGCCAGATGACCCCAAATTTAGCATGAATGTGGTGAGGGTTATAAGTGAAGCAGCATTTCTAGGGTTCATCCTGCTTGAATTACCCAGTCCCTCTTGAATTACCTACTGCCATAACTCTGTTTTCATCCTGTACCAGGAATGTTATGCTAATAATATAGCCCAGGGAAATGACAGGAACAGTCCAAGGAGGTTTTAATATGGACAGCCTTCTTTTCTATGTTTGAGCAACACTCTTGAATTCACAATGTTCTATTGAACTGTACGTAACAGCTTCACATTTTGATTATTTTGTTTGCATATTTGTTTGCTTTAATATGTGGGCAACACTAGGAAGCCTGCAAAACTGAAAATGGGAATGATGAATCTCTATCTTACAAGGATAAAATTACTAAAGTAGAGTCACTAAAAATATGATCCTCATCTGAGCTGTGCTTGCTACATGTTCCTAAGATTTTCTGTAAAATTTATGCAAAACAAAATAATTTTGGAGATCCAAAGTATTAGAATTCATCTGTCAGCTTTTTTACCAATGCCAGAACATATGAACCAGACTGTTAACTGGACATATCTATAGTCCCAATTTTAAAGAAATTCCTCCTAGTCTCTTGTCAGAAGGGAAGTGAAAATTGTGAGTTGCTTTGTAAATTGCCTATTTACTTGCCAGTGACAGAAGGAACAAACCAGTGACTCTCCTGCCCCCTTACACAGCCTGTGCTAAGAACTGGGAAAATCAGACCTGCTAAGCAATCACAAATGGAAGCCTCATTTACTGGAGCTGTCAGAGTTTGGGTAAATGACAGTGCAAATGCAGGCCAGATCTGCACTCCTCTGAATGTTAGCACTTCTGTCTGAACAGTCACATCAGTGCTGCCACAGAGAAATAACACCTACACAGCCCATCCAAACCAAAGGCAGTATCTTCTTCCCAGTTACTTATTCCTCAGTAGGGGCTCTCAGAAAGCCACACTCATTACTAGCTTATTTCTGAACTCAGAACCCCTTCAGTTGGGGAGGGAGTGAGATGAGATGTCAAAAGCACTCTCCCAGGAGAAAGCATATCCACACTTTGTGCTGCAGTGTCTGTGCTTCACTTGATAATTTTCTTAATATCATCATTGGTGAGGAGCCCCTCAGTACTTGAGGAGGCCAGCCTTGTTGGGTAGCAGTCACTCTTTTAAGTTTCCATTCGTGGTGGTTGCACTTTCAGTTTAAAATTACTGCAAATAAGCTGCAGACAGCTTACTAAAGTACTGACAAATCTAATGAAATCATACTGCAGAAATTTATGAAAAATGAGGGTCCTATTTATAAGGAAAACAATGTTTCTGAGACTGATCTGAGGCTGAACAGCTGATGAAATAGTTTGGAGAAAAGATAAAAGACCAGGAGAAAGACTTGCAGAAAATTAGCCCTTGACAGAACTATCTGAATTTTCCAGTAAAGGAAATTGTCCAGGCTGGAATGAAACTCATGGGTCAAAAGCAAATCACACTGGGTAAGTTACTGAGGAAAATGGACAGCTAAATCCATCAGTAAGCTACTTTCCAGAAAGCAAATAGGATTGTTTGCACAAGATGGCCTAGCCAGGTAGTCTCAGCGCTCATCTTTTCCTACAAAGTGGTGACCCTGAAGTGAGCTCCCATACTTTCAAGTTCCCCAGCCTTGAGTGACCTATGGAGAAACATACAAGCTAGTGTATTTCATCCTGTTTCAAAGAAAAACGAAGTCTGAAGCAAAACTGATCCACCACTCATCAGAACAGGATTATTGGCCAATTCCCAGTCATCTTTGCCGATACTTTTACAGGGATCAGAAAATCAGGTTATTGAAAGCTTTGGAAAGGCTCAGGTATAAGTCCTTAAATTTAAATATTACTTTTTCTATCACACATAGAATGGGATAATCTAACAGAACATCATGAAATAAACATAATTTCCAACCATCTGGATCATACTTTCCAGCCTAGTATGCTATTTTATGAGGTTGCTCACCTCATCACGAAATGTTTCCTTTGGGGATATAAGCCAACTTGTTAGTGGAATATTTTTGCAGCTACCATTAAGTCACAATCCATATGAATATGAATTTTGGCCAAATATAAATATAGAAATAATTTAGATCAATTTTCCTGGCCTTGTCTGTGCATCCTGCATATTGGACCGAAAGAGGAGTCAGTACTTAAAGCATAAAGAGACTCGAGGTTCCATAGGACAAGAAACCCTAAACCTGAACTGCGACCCTTCTAAGTAGGCTGGAGCTGAGAAACTTCTCAAAAGGGCTGTGTATTCCAGCGATTCCATCGCTGTGTTTATCCCGGCCCTCACAGCGGGGGTTTCTCCCGGGCCCGCCGCCCTGTCCCTGGTGCTGACCGGGCGCGGCCCCTCGGCACAGCCGCTGCGCCTGCCCGGGACCTTCCCAGCCCGGGAATCCTCGCTCCTGGCCAAATCCCGGGGCTCCCATGCCACGGGGCACCGCACGCGTTTAACGTTTGGGAACAGGCTTTTTTTTTTTTTTTTTTTTTTTTTTACAAACTCATAAAGCAGTGGCTCTGTCATTGCACTGAGAAAACAGTTGACTTCCTGCAGGCTACTTTGGGGAGCATAACATAAGCCAAAAAGCAAACCACACAGAACTGCTGAATAGATGGATGTATGGAGCGGGCTGCCTGGTCCGTGACAGCGCTCAGCAGGACCACGTGAAGGCACCACAAGGCTCAATCTCTTAACTCATCTCAGCATCAGTACCCTGGTGGGCAATTAAATTGCCCGTTCTGCATTTTTTGTCTTCCAAACCTTTTGTCTCCTCTCGGGACGTCGTTTTAACTTTTCCACTTAACTAAAACGACCATTGCTTATCAATACCAGTGAATCAGTGGGGGAAAACAACCTCGCTTCCACTTTTTCTAGAGGTCAGTGAAAGAAATCATCGTTCTCACTCGTGTTCCGGCGGCGAGCAAAGGGGCTGAAGGCAGCAGGCGGCGAGCGAAGGGGCTGAAAGCTGCGGGCTCCAAGCCCGCAAAGCATTAACGCACAAGGCTCAAGAGCTTTTGCTGAACTTGGGCAGGACAGCAGCCCCTCCCGGCCGCCCTCGCCGCCTTCCAGAGCGTTCCCGGTCCCATCCGCGGGCGCAGCCCCCCCGCTCCCGCCGCCATTTCATCCCTCGCATCCTTCCCTGAGGGCTCAGACGCGGAACGCCCGCCCCCCGGGATACCTGCTGCCCCGGCGCTCGGCCGAACCGCTCCCCACAGCTCTGTGTCACCTTCCTGCTCTGCCACCACGGCCCCGAGGTGATCTCGGCCCAAACTCGGATATTTACACGCCGCCGGCAGCGGCTTCTGGCGGATCGGTCCCTGCGCCACCGCCTGAGGCAAATCCCCTCCCGCGCCGCCTCGCCCACCCAGCGCCCCCTCGCGGCGGGACGGGGAGCGGCCGCCTCCCTCAGCGCGGCGCTCCCGGCGGCCCGGGCGCTTTAAAGGCTCCACCTGCGGGGCAGCGGCTCTTCCCCTCGCCTCGGGGGCGGCCGGGGATCTCAGCGCTTCCCTCGGCCCCGGTCGCGGCCGCCCTCTGGCTGCGGGGCCGATGTCCGTGGGCGCGGCAGCCGCGGCTCCTGCGGGGCGGGTCCCACCCGTTGCGGCCCGGGCAGCGCTGCGCGGCCGGAGGTGGCGGGGGCGGCCGCTCGGCCCGGAGGTACCGGTGAGCGAGACGCTGCGAGCGGGCAAGGTGGGTCGCGCCGCGACTACAGCCTGTCTGTAGTGGAAAATTAAACCCTGGAGAGCCCTTTCTGGAAAGGCAGAAGTGAGTAGGCGAGGCTGAAGTGTAACTTTTGGGAGGGTGCTTAGTTATCTTGCATCCTTGCGAGTATAGGCGCACCGCTACATCAGTGTGCTGCGGTGATCCCTGAGGAATGTGCCATGGCCAAATGACACTGACGGCACAGGATCCCTCTCGTACGCCTCGCTGTGCGCTCCCCGCGCCGTGCCGGACCTCGGGCTGTCAGGAGGCAAAGCCTGCGCTCTCACAGGTCCTGTGACCTCGATGTCAGAGCTCAGCCCCTGGTCTGTGTGGAGCTGACGATGATGTCTTTGGGTTTGTTTGGATTTTCTTCGTTCGCTGTTTTCTCTTTCCTGAGGCCAGATAGTCAATTAAGTTCCCCTGCAGCAAGGCATAAGTTACATTAGTCACAGAATTGCTGTAAACTTTCCTGTTTTCAGCCCAGAGCTGGAGAAAATGAAAACTGAACAGCAACACATTTTGCAGACTTCTTTTTCCGCCTCAAGTACATGTATTAGAAACGGAGCCCTGCGTTTTAATCCAGTTTGCTGCTGTTGACTCACTTTCTCACCTAAAGCTGGTAACCTAAGTGCTGTGGTTATGTTTGTAAACAGGACATGGTTAAAACAACAGGTGTTTAGGTGTTCTTTACCTTAAAAGAAGAAATTTTCTTATCATGGGAAGGTAAGTGCCACAAAAGTCTGAATTATTACATGATGTAGTGAGTATGTTTAAAAACAATGACTGTAAAGCTGGTAAGATGAGAACTAACTAATATACACTTAAGTGTTCACAAAGAATCTGGAGTGGTATCTTCACCTTCCCGTTCATGGTGAATCTGTCTCTCCACAGGTTTCCAATTTAACACATTTACAAAAACATCTTCATTATCTTTTAAAGTTTAATTCTGACTAAACTGTGTTGTATACCAAATCTTTTATGGAGTTGAAAAGAGGCTGGTGAAGGGGAAAAAAAGGCCATGCAGTAGAGGAAACAAGTGTGAAATACAGGTTTGTTTGTTTTTTTTTAAAAGGTGAAAATAGTTATGGTGAAGGATCTAGAGGGAGGGATAAATATCAAGTTCGGTTAATTGGTAAAGAGATACTGGCAGCAGCAAACAGCCAAACAGGAAACATTTGAGCTGCATTTCTGAAGTCATTCTATTATAGAGAAGGAAGATAATAGTCTATCATTATATTGCTCTAGCATCTCTTCCCAGCATTCTCAGCCTTTTCTGGAACCCACAAAGCACAGCCCTAGTAAGGTACTGACAAAGCTGAATGTGGTGAAGCCAAGTATGATAGAAAATTGCGTGGCTTGAGAATGATCAAGACTTAGAACTACTTGATAAAGGGGCTAAAAGGAACACAGAAATCCTAAGATCCGTGAGAATTGAAGGATTTTAAATAAATAGGTGAAACAAAACTGTGCATGGAAGTACGAGTAGGATTAGCTCAACTTAATTCAGAGTTCAGCAGTGAAGGAAAGGAGATCACAGTGACCTCTTTTGTAGAATAGTCTTACTTTGGAAGCAATATTAAACTTGTGGGGAAAAATATCTTTGCTCTTGGTAATTAATTTTTTATTCAGTTTGCCACTGGCGAGGTAGGAATTCAGAGCTAATTTTTTTTCCACCTCTAATGTGTCAATTTCAAATTCCTTAGCACTGCTTAGCTAATATATAGTAAATGTGTACTATTTCATCCTGTGGATGACAATGAAGATCAGTCCCCACCTACAGCTGTTGATTTCATGTGAAATGCACTTAACATTGGGTTGATTCAAAATATTGGAAAACTCTAGAATTGCATATATTGGATAACTGTTTCAAAGCTTGGGTTTTCTTCATGCATGTGTCTAGTGAGTAGTTGCTTCAAAGGCTCCATTTGCTTTGCTTTGCTTTCCCACTCTTCTGAAGGATTGTAGATAATTGTACTGGGGACAGTGAAGGAATCTATGGGAGAAAAAGGGCATGTTTGTCATAAAGCTGAATGCTGCTTTCTTGTACTGCCACTCCCTCAGATGAGGAAGACTGAAAGGAAGACAGACAATCTTTTTGCCTGGTTATTTTCTTCTTTTTTTCTTTTCTTTTTTTTTTTTTTTTCCTAAAGGAAAGTCTATCCAGCTTGTTGAACATCTTTCTGTCAAAGAGGAGATGATAGTTTATTCACGTATGGCACAAATGTTTCACGTGCCTAAACATTGAAACCATGACCTTGTATGCATCTTTTTTTTTGCCAGAGATTCATAGTCTGTTGCAGCTGAGAAGTCAAACTCTCAAGCAATCCACTTCTGAAATCCTTGATGATCCCAATGATACAACCCTGTTGCTGCAGTAACAGTAATTCAAGTCTCTCCTGTGCGTACATCTACCACAGCAGCTAAAATATAACCCCTGACTAATGTGTCCAGCTTTGTGAAGTAGTAGCAACTTTAACAATTGGAATTTCCATTACTTGTTTCCTTCCACCTTAATTTAGCATTGACACTAGTGGCTTTTATTTCATTCACTGAATGTCTGTGCACTCCTGAGCACGCAGTTGTGGCTCTCCCAAAGCCAGTTCACTGTAATACACAGCATGGGCTCCTAGCACGTGTGAATTGTTTCCGCTAGTGTAACATCCCTGCTGGGCTTGTGGAAGGACAGCTCTGCTCAGGCTCAGAGGCATTTGCTGGAGCTGGTGGCACTCTTGTACCTGGTACCCATCCAGCTTCCTTGCAACTGTTCCCATCAGTCAAGCTTGGGGCAGGAGGGGTGGTGCCTGGGGAGCTCTGGACAATTCTCTGATTTGATATGTGAAGAGAAAATGTCACCCTGCTCCTGGAATATTTTTTTGTTTAAATGTCACTCCTTACATCAGTGACCTCCTTTGACTCAGCACAGCTTCTCTCTGAAGGGAGTGAGCTTTAAGCAAGTCATAGATTTTGACGTAGCCAGAGAATGTAGGGAAGAAGGCACACCGTGAGAAACAAAATACTATTATCTGAGCAAACAAAAAATATTTTTTAAACAGACTAGCAGGCAATTATGTAAAGCAACTTAAAACGTAATCTAAACATAACGAGCCTCTGAAAAACAAGGAAATTGCCAGTTCTGTACACACAGTTTATTTCAGCCTCTGATTTCCCAGAAGGTTTGCTGAGGTTTGTGCTGGTAGCTGTGGTAGCACTGTACCTGCTGCACTGATGTCTCACCTTTGAAAACAGGGCAGGGCTGAAACAGCTATCTGGGTGGATCACCAGCTTTCTTATTTAGAGGCTGATTGTACTGAAAGTCTGTAGAAGGTGAGACCTGTGCTAAGGGTGCCCCTAACAAATGGAGCTGTGACTACAGCATGAGCTTCTGTAGTATTTTAACTTCATTATTAGGAATAATAAAAGGATATAATAATTTCCATAATTAGGGAATTTCTTCAGGCAGGCAGAGGCGATACAGACACAGGAGAGAGGCTTGGAGAGAGAAAACTCTGGAATATTCTTTCTCCGAATTGCACCTGGTAAGGGATAATGCAGATGCATGAAAGAGCTGTGGTCCTGATGTGTTGAAGGGAAATGCTGGCCAGGACACTGGCATATCCTCTACACTTTCCTTTTAAAAATGCCAAGCTATGCTGAACATTCGTGCAGACATGGACAGAAACCAAAGGAGTAGGAACAAGTGACCTCAGTTTAACATTTCATTCAAATGACAGAGCCTTGAATGCGATGCCCACTCTGGTTTCTTAGCTCACCACTCAGCCTGAAGGATTTCTCAGATCCTTTCAGATGTCCTGATAAGCAAATGGCATGTTATAGATGTGAAAGTAGGACAGAAGTACATAGTGTTTGATTAAACAACATCTCTGTTTCTTAGTGCTTAGCTCTGTTTAGTTTGTTGTGTGGTTGTATTCTGTTCTGGGTTTTGCTTCCCCCTGTTTTTTCTGTTATTGACACGAATGGCTGAAGATTTAGGGATGGCAAGGTAACATGCACAGAATTCACATTCCACAAAACTGTGGCCTTTCTTCTAATACTAATTTATGTGACACTGTCTTTAGTAGAAAAACAATGACTTGTTATGTTTATCATCTTACTGCTGGTTTTATTCTGTTCTCCTGAACTCTTGAAATGGAGCCAAGAAAGGGCACTAAAAAAAGCAGTGAATTCCTAGGAAAAGTAGAAGGAAAAGTACAATGAAATATACCTTCAAGCCTTTGTGTGTACATGTGGCTTTCTAAAATAAAAAATCAGTACTAGATAAACTGGCAGGCCAGGAAACTGAGTCCAACAAGTCACTTTTGCCTCTTCTCGAAGTAATCATCCAAACATCAATGGTTCTGGACTCACAGAGGACAGGTTATAAATACTCTTAATGTAAATGTACCTTCAAGGTGTATGTGAGACATCAAAACCCTGCTTTATTCTCAAGTTGTATCTTGCCATTTGCTTTCGTTTTGGCTGGGGCCAGTTCCGCTGGCTTAGTGTAACTTTTATTTAAATCTGTGAATTTCTGTGGTTTCATGTGGACCTCTGGTTATATGGTTTAGTCTGGTGCCTATGCAGAGATTAATTATTCCCTTGTACAAATAGCTTTTCTGGCACTGGGAATGCTAGACAGAAACTTTTATTGCTTCATGGTTTTGATAAATTTTTGACCATCTCCTTAGACCAAGATTGAGTTCCTGTTAGTGCTGGCTCTCTGCTGTTTTGTCATCATATATTTATCATGTTTTAAGGTAGCTGCATTGGCAGGGTAACCATTATCAGTGTTCAACCTGAGCTTGCCTTTTGATTATCAAAGTAGAACCCCATCTTTGGGGGACTTTTCTGCCCCCCTTATTTTAAATAGAATGGCAATTTCTTTCTAACCAGAGGGTACAGGAAGATAAATGCTGGAAAGATACAGAAGAGGGGTTCTGGGGACCTGCACGAATTAATGACTTGAAAGGGGTGAGCGTTATTTAATCTTTGTAGCTTTATCCTGAGAGCAGAAACTTTTTGTTTATATCTGTAGTTGTACCAACAGCTTCTTCCCTATCCTCATGCCCTCTGTATTTTAGCAATTTCCAATCTAAGGCAGAAATTCTATCCAGCCTTACTGAACAAGGGTTTATAGAACTCCTGAGAACTGGAATGTAAACTATGAAGAAATCAAGGAATTAATTAAGGAAGCAGTTAGCTAACTATTTGTATCCTTAGCCTTTCATTCAAGCGTCACACCTTTAGAAGTCTTGTATTCAAATGATGAAACAGGTATATAATGAAACCATGCTTTTGTCACAGAAATTAAATGCTGATTAGAGGTGTCGCATGATACATCTTTCTGAATTCAGAAAGAATAAATGGTAATTTTTTCTAAGGAAAGCAAGGGCTGTGGAACCAAGAGCCAAACATGAAGTTGTGCGATTTTTTTTTTTAATTTTTTTTTTTTTTTAATGGTGATGCTAAATACATGTAGTATATACTTTTTTCAGTTTAACAAAGCATTGCAAAAGAAGGTTAACACTTTCTTGGTGCCTTTCCTGCTACATGTGGAAAGATCTATATAGAAAGAACTTGTATTATATGTCACAGTAGAAGAGATACCTGTGTGCTGAAGAAGAATTTAAGAATGGCTTTGTAGTTGTTAACAGGCTAGTGAAGAGACTTGGATATTTGGGATTTTAGAATGGGATTTTGTTTGCTTGTTTTATTAAAACATGTGTTTTGTCCATAAAGCAACTGAGCAGCATGAGGGGCTTGAGGAGCCTAGAAAGATCTGTCCCCTTCTCTGGGGACTATATTAGACCTCTGAGTCATGAAGTCTTTGCATAGTAGGTGTCTGGTTACAAACCTTTTATGGGCCCTACTCAGCTGGGATATCACCATCTGCATTATAGCTCCCATCTATTCTTAGGTGGTATCAGCACGACTGAACAGGCAAGGCAGAGAGAGAATTGCTTTCGTTATGTAAAACCCTTCCCTGTTCTCAGCAACTTTTTGACGCTTTTTTCTGTTTGCTCCGTCCTTCTGTCCTGCAGTGCCCTGTTGCTGTCTGTGAAAGCTGTACAACATGGCTTACAGTGTGACTCTGAATGGACCTGGACCGTGGGGCTTCCGACTGCAAGGGGGCAAGGACTTCAACATGCCCTTGACCATCTCCAGAGTAAGTGTGCAAAAAAAACCTTCTTGAGCTTGTTTGGGTTGGAAAATAGCAGTCATATGTGCACTTTGACTGGCCTAGCAGAATTTAGGATCTTTGCACCTAGGTGTGAATAAAGAGAATATAAAGTGAACTAGAAATGTACCAGTTCAAAGTACAACCTGGCATTCATGGTGTCTCAGGAAGACAGTTCTGGTTAGTATATTTTTATGGATGCTGATACTCTCTTAAGTAAGCTTCCAGTTCTGTTCTGTACAGTGTTGTCTCTTTTTCTGCTGATAGGGACCTCACTGGTGCAGTTTGGGAGGAAGGGAGTAGAACAACTCTGAATGGGAATACAGAATAATATTTCTAGAATATAAATGTGTAACTGCTTGTAAGAATGTGAAGTCAGGTGTTAAAACTGAACAAAGGCAGGAATGTGTCCCCTCTTGTGATGGGGTGCTATAGTGGGATAAAAATTAGACATGTCAAGCAGAATACTCAGCAGTACTTAAAATACTGTCTTTAATTATGCAGAAGCCTTCCATTTGCAGCTGACAAACAGCATGGATTTAATAATTAATTACCTGGTGTATCTGTCAATTACAGCCATATACCTCCTAGCTGCCTTCTTTTCTCTTTGAAGCATGATTTTATGGTGTGCAGTTCAGTACTCCTATTACCTGAATTAGCTCAGTTTCTTAAATATTTTTAACATTGGATGGTTTTCAGGAAATTTGTGTTTCCCTTACCTACTTTTCTCTTATGTGATAGTTGTATGTGATTTCTGGTAGCTTCCTTCTTTTTTTCTTGTTTCTGATCATCTCAAATCTGCTCCAGAACGTTCAGATCTTTCTAGAGAGGTCTTGGTTCCTCCACAAATCACCTGCAGAAGGTTTGTTTTGTAGTACAGTGACAAGAGAGGTTACTTACATAACAGTATGTAAGAGAAATACCAGAATTATTTAAGCAGAGAAACAAGTAAAATGCAGATAAAAGGTCTGCTCCACTGCAAAAATAATTATAAAAAAACCACCTACACTTCTTTTAAAACTATGTTGTTTATTTCATAATGAAAAAATGCAGTCTGTTAAGTTGTGGGTACAAAATTTATATCTCTGCAACAAATGTGATTCAAAGTCAGTTGATGAGATTCTGAAATCTTAGCTATGCTATTTCATATTCATCCTGTGAAACTGTATCATCTGATCTCCCTTGTTCTTATGCACATTATCCCTTTCTTGGAAGACACAGCCACCATAATATTTTAAATAAATAATTTTACCATAAATTTACCATAATACTAAGGCTTATGATGATGAGACATACTTTTCATAACTTCTTTTGCAGCATAGTAATTGCAAAGAAGGCTGTTCTGGCAGTATTATCAAAAGCAAACAAGCAAAACACAAAATACCCTCTGTCTACAAAAATAAACTCTCTTCATAAACTCAGATTTTTTGCTCCTCTGGATAGTGTTGGTATTTCCTTTCTCATCCCACCCAAGGTAAGTGCAGAGAGGTGCCATCATATTTTTGTAGACCCTGTATTTTCATTACCCGTTGCAGCCTGCACTGTGTGGTGTTGATTATTTTCTTATAAGTCATTCAGTCATACCTACAATCTGTCAGCCATGGGCCAGGGCTGTAGCACTTGCACTGTATATGGCACAATCAGTAATGAAAAGCCAGTTGTTTCCCGAAGAGCTGATTGTCTCAGACTGTAATCTGTGAATGTGTGAGCACTATGCCCAAAGGCTATATGATTCCCATGGAGCTTTTGAGAGCATAGGAGCAGCAGAAGTGAAACTGCAGCAGTTGAATTCCCAGAGGTGTGGAGGAATTAGCTCTTCACACAGCTGACTGTATTTTCAGCCTTCACATTTCAGTGTCAGAAAGCACTGTTAAATGTTTTTTACATCCTTCCCAGTGAGGCCAAGTTTTTAGCTGGGACGACAGCTTTGGGATGGGATTGGATTCTAGAGCCTGCCCCATGAGGTCAGAAGAAGACTTACAGGAATTAACATAGCCTCTTTCATGGGCAGCTGGGATACTTATACCTGTTGGCTGTGATGTTTTTAATTGGAGCACAGTGTAATACATGAGTTTTGATAATAATCTGTTTTTTTCTTTATCATCTATCGCATAAATATATCTCTAAACAAATCAGAAATTGCAGTCATAAGTGAGTTGACCTGTGAACTCAGCCACAGTTTCAGTCTTATTGTGGTGGGAAAGGGGAAGGTGTACTTACATTTTTAAGGTATTCCAGGAGGGGAGAGAAGATAACTGTGAGGAAGATCTTGGAAAGGACACACAGCTCTAAATGTTGCTAGTGGGTGCTGTACACCTATTTTTGGGCTGGTTTTGATCCACAGCTGCCCTGAGATGAGATTAGACTTTCTATGTGCAAGATGAGTCCTAAATTCCAAACACTTCAACTTAGAGTGTTATAATTGCTTTTAATATCAGCTGCACCATGTCCCTTTTGGCTACATGTGCACAGTGTCCTTCTAAGCCTGCAGACTGGGTTTGCATGCAGACATGTTCGTTGTGCTCTGACTGCCCTCGATTAATTAGACTGTCTGTGAGAGGGCCACAGAGAACAGAAAGAATCATCCTTTTTCATGAAGGCTCTGTGCTCATCTAAGATCCTAAGAAAGACAATGGAAAGAGTGTATGTAACACAGCAGTGTTGTTCATCACATCTATAGTATTAGACCAACATGTTTCCAAGCACAGTACAGGATTGTGGGATTGCTAATGCTTCTGTTCAGGAAAAATGCTCTTAACATCGTGGATGAGGAAGGGAGTTATGCAGAGCTGTTTGGCATAGCAGTTCACTTCTAAAGAAATCTTTGAAATGGTGTCTGAGACACTATTTTCTTCCATTCAGGTAGGCCCAGGTGATCAGCTCATTGCTGAATTGTCAACAGCATAATGCACAGCTGGGTGACAGGTGAAGATGTGTTCCCATGAAATGGATTGTTCTGCTTATCTGTTCTTTATCTAAAAATAAGTACCTGACTAACATAAGGGATGGGAACAAGAAAACAGGAAACAAAAACAAGCAGTGAAGAGCTTAGGTCACTTTGCAGCTTTCACACTCCTTTAACAATAGCATTGGGAAATCATCTGTAAACTACTTTTCCAGTCCCCACCCTGCAGACCATCCTACCCACTAGAAGAATTCTGTCATGAGATGTCAAATTCTGTCATAAGATGTCATGAGAAGGTAGCAGTCATAGGAAAACAGTATTGACAGACTTAGTCAAGCTGAGCATCTGTCAGCCCTGCTGAAATGAATGAAACTTGCAGGTTGTTGGCAGTGCTAAGCGCTGTCACCAGTGGCATGATCATATACATAAATCTGGCCTTTCAAATTGACATGGGCAGCAAAGTTGTTTATTTTCTCCTTCTGCTTGAACTGTCTGGAAGCAAGCAGAATTCATTAATTTCTCTATTATTAATAATTAATAATCCTCTGTAAGAAGGCTTTTGGACATAGTTAATTATCTAAGCGCTCGATTGCCATGTTACCTAAGATGATACGATTGTACATGGTTAGATGCAATAGCAGAACGTCTTCATATCATTCTGAATCTTTATTTCTGAACAGTAAACTTTTCTAGTGACACAGGCTGGCTTGCAGGTGATACAATGAGCTGAAAAGTGCAAAGTAACGATCTTTATCTGTGGTAGTAGAATTATTATCTAAATCACTGTGGTAATTCATGGCTGGTATATTCACTCTGTGGTTATCCATAGAGTTTTATATTTCCTATTAGAGAGGTTTTTTAGCTGCTTGGGTTCCAAATCAAAAGCCAGAGCCTGAAACAGGAGAAAGTGTTTAAACAAAGCAAAAACATTCAAGAAAAATTTTTCTTTATTCCATTAAGTGATGAAAAAGTTCAAGTCTGGTGATGATGTAAGTCCAGGGAGGGGAAAATAGCAAACACTGCTACAAAATGAATTAAATTAGCTGATCTGCTACAAACAGCCTGAAACAGCTTTTTGAGTCTGGGAAAACCCTGGTCTAGCGTTTTGCAGTCTGTCTCTGCAGGAGCAGGAAGGTTTTTTTCTCACCATTGTTAGCCTCTTTCCTTTTATAAGCATCTCTTGCTGATTGCTTCCTGTCCCTCCTCCACTCCCTAGCATATATATGCCAACCTCTGGCTGTCACTGCCTTTGCTTTAGAGGAGCTATGTGAGAGTATTCATTTCCTGTGAGCTATTGCGTGTCAGTGCCTTACAACGGACAACTGAGGAGGGAAGGCAGTCCCTCTTCACTTTTTTTCTTCTATTCTTGAATGAGGGGAAGCCTCAGATGATCTGGGTCAGGCTCTGTGCATTCTGCAGCTGTCCTTTGAATGGCCATGTGATGCTGTACATAAACTATAGTCAGAAAAATACAGTTTACCTGTATTGACTGAACTGAACTGAAGCAGTTCAGCAAGATCTCTTGAAGTGCTGGTACCACATCACCTGCTAAACATCCACTTTTGGTGAATCAGACTGCTGAGTAGCTGTCCTTAAGCTGCAACTGCAGCTTTAAGAAGGTTTTTTTTTATCTCCAAATAACAAGTCCTTCGTGATACCAAAAGCTATAGATTAGTATTCATAGTAGTTGATATTCTGCTAAACTGACAGATAAGTCTGGTGTCCTCTAGAAATCTAGGAGTCTTCCTCTTAAACTCTAGAGACTGTACTGTAGAGATGTTTCCTTTTTCCTTTAAAGTTCAAATGACTGAGTCAACCTCTGAGAAGGAAGCGAGCCATTTAATATAATGACTGTCTTATGCCTAGACAAACTGTGGTAAATTGTTATACCTCAGCAGTTTCACATTCTTCCAGTCTTCTTACAGTTTAACTCAAAATAGTTCCTTGTGAGAGGAAAATTAAATACTTCCAGGCCAGCTTTTCAGAACACTCCAAAACTTTTCTCTCTATTTTTTTGATAAAACAACTATTATGTGGGCATCAGCATTTCTTTGGGATAATCTGTTTGATTTGTTGATTACTT